AAACCGCCTCCTCATTCTGCCACCCAGAGTCTTCAGGGGTCCCTGTACGGCCCCCCCATTGCTGCTGTCTCCATCGCCACACCCCCCTGCGCCATGTCCCCTTTTCAGGTCCTTCAAAACTGCTGGTGTGTTAAATTTTTTGACATAGGGTGCAGGCAGATTACGGGCCTCACATAGCTGCTGCCAGGCCCCTAATCTGCCATGGGGCCCCTATATACCGCCTCCTCATGCTGCTGCCAATCTAGATACTCTCATGGGTCCCTGTACGCCTCCCATTGCTGCTGTCCATCCCACAAATTCCCCCTCCACACTCTGCTGCCATGTGCCACTTTCAGGTCTCATCACACTGCTGGTGTGTTTAAAATTTTTTGACATAGGTGCTTGCAATAACGGGGCCTCACATAGCTGCTGCCACGGCCCCTAATCTGCCATGGGCCCCTATATACCGCCTCCTCATGCTGCTGCCAAGTCTAGAGTCTCTCATGGGTCCCTGTACGGCCTCCCATTGCGTGCTGTCTCCATCGCCACACTCTGCTGCCATGTGCCACTTCAGGTCTCTTCACACTGCTGGTGTGTTTAAATTTTTTGACATAGGGTGCAGGCAGATTACGGGCCTCACATAGCTGCTGCCTAGGCCCCTAATCTGCCATGGGCCCCTATATACCGCCTCTCATGCTGCTGCCAAGTCTAGAGTCTGTCATGGGTCCCTGTACGGCCTCCCATTGCTGCTGTCTCCATCGCCACACTCTGCTGCCATGTGCCACTTTCAGGTCTCTTCACACTGCTGGTGTGTTTAATTTTTTGACATAGGGTGCAGGCAGATTACGGGCCTCACATAGCTGCTGCCAGGCCCCTAATCTGCCATGGGCCCCTATATACCGCCTCCTCATGCTGCTGCCAAGTCCCAGAGTCTCTCATGGGTCCCTGTAACGGCCTCCCATTGCTGCTGTCTCCATCGCCACACACTCTGCTGCCAATGTGCCACTTTCAGGTCTCTTCACACTGCTGGTGTGTTTTAAATTTTTTGACATAGGGTGCAGGCAGATTACGGGCCTCACATAGCTGCTGCCAGGCCCCTAATCTGCCATGGGCCCCTATATACCCGCCTCCTCATGCTGCTGCCAAGTCTAGAGTCTCTCATGGGTCCCTGTACGGCCTCCCCATTGCACCGGCTGTCTCCATCGCCACACTCTGCTGCCATGTGCCACTTTCAGGTCTCTTCACACTGCTGGTGTGTTTAATTTTTTTGACATAGGGTGCAGGCAGATTACGGGCCTCACATAGCTGCTGCCAGGCCCCTAATCTGCCATGGGCCCCTATATACCGCCTCCTCATGCTGCTGCCAAGTCTAGAGTCTGTCATGGGTCCCCTGTACGGCCTCCCATTGCTGCTGTCTCCATCGCCACACTCTGCTGCCATGTGCCACTTTCAGGTCTCTTCACACTGCTGGTGTGTTTAATTTTTTGACATAGGGTGCTGCAAGATAACGGGCCTCACATAGCTGCTGCCAGGCCCCTAATCTGCCATGGGCCCCTATATACCTTATGCCTCCTCATGCTGCTGCCAAGTCCAGAGTCTCTCATGGGTCCCTGTAAACGGCCTACCCATTGCTGCTGTCTCCATCGCCACACTCTGCTGCCATGTGCCACTTTCAGGTCACTCTTCACACTGCTGGTGTGTTTAATTTTTTGACATAGGGTGCAGGCAAGATTACGGGCCTCACATAGCTGCTGCCAGGCCCCTAATCTGCCATGGGCCCCTATATACCGCCTCCTCATGTCTGCTGCCAAGTCCAGAGTCTCTCATGGGTCCCTGTACGGCCTCCCATTGCTGCTGTCTCCATTCTGCCACACTCTGCTGCCATGTGCCACTTTCAGGTCTCTTCACACTGCTGGTGTGTTAAATTTTTTGACATAGGGTGCAGGCAGATTACGGGCCCACATAGTAGCTGCTGCCAGGCCCCTAATCTGCCCATGGGCCCCTATATACCCCGCCTCCTCATGCTGCTGCCAAGTCTAGAGTCTGTCATGGGTCCCTGTACGGCCTCCCATTGCTGCTGTCTCCATCGCCACACACTCTGCTGCCATGTGCCACTTTCAGGTCTCTTCACACTGCTGGGTGTGTTTAATTTTTTGACAATAGGGTGCAGGCAGATTACGGGCCTCACATAGCTGCTGCCAGGCCCCTAATCTGCCATGGGCCCCTAATATACCGCCTCCTCATGCTGCTGCCAAGTCCAGAGTCTCTCATGGGTCCCTGTACGGCCTCCCATTGCTGCTGTCTCCATCGCCACACTCTGCTGCCATGTGCCACTTTCAGGTCTCTTCACACTGCTGGTGTGTTAAATTTTTTGACATAGGGTGCTGGCAGATTACGGGCCTCCATTGCTGCTGCCAGACATGTAATCTGCCATGGGCCCCCCCGTACCGACTCCTCATGCTGTGACGTTGCAACAAGGTGTAATTCAACCCTACATATGTTAGACCGCCTTTACGAACAGCTAAAGGCCATCACAGATTTCCTGATGTTAAAAGCGGATAAAGGTACTCCCTGTGTAACTTAGATGTCAGCCATTGTCAGCTCATGTGTGACACCTGCGCTTGCTCAGGCCCTTTGAGGAGGCCACGCTATTCGTGAGTCGGCAGACTATGGGATGAATGAGGTCAAATCGGCCATGGGCCCCTGTACCGCCTGTTCACGCTGATGCTGGTCCCACAGTGTGACCTGGGTCCCTGTACGGCCTCCCATTGCTTCCACTCTGCCATGTACCTCTTTGAAATCTCCTCACACTCCTGCGGTTGTCCCATTTTGTCATAGGTTGCTGGCAGATTAGCGGCCTTCCATAGGTGCCGCCAGGCCCCATATCGACCATGGGCCCCCGTACCTCCTGGTCACGCTGCTGCTGAGGCCCACAGTGTGACCTGGGTCCCTGTACGGCCTCCCATTGCTTCCACTCTGCCATGTGCCACTTTGAAATCTCCTCACACTCCTGCGGTTGTCCATTTTGTCATAGGTTGCTGGCAGATTACAGGCCTTCCATAGGTGCCACCAAGCCCCATATCGGCCATGGGCCCCCGTACCGCCTGGTCACGCTGCTGCTGGGCCCACAGTGTGACCTGGGTCCCTGTACCGCCTCCCATTGCTCCCCACTCTGCCATGTGCCACTTTCAGGTCTCCTCACGCTCTCCTGCTGGTTTCCATTTTGTCATAGGTTGCTGTATGGCCTCCCATTGCTGCTGCCTCCACCGCCACACTGTGGCTCCAAACACTGGTTTTGGCCCCGTGACTGGCCAAAGGAGTGAAGTGTGCAGTGATTCTAAGATCGACGGCACTCATCTGCATGTCATACTGACAGACAGTATTATTTCTCATCCCCAGCAGACTCCAAGGGCATTTAAAATTAAAGGTACAGTGTTCTGCACTAATATATTAAGTCTCTCTGAAGCCTAGAAACACCCTTTTTTAAGTTAAATTCACAGCGAATTTATTCGACTCGAATCGAATATTGTCCACGAATTCGCCGAATCAGTCGAATCGAATTTTTCATTTCTTCGCTCATCTCTAGTGGCTGCATTAGCATTTTTTTTCTAGCTTATTTTGACTTGGTGATCTGGCTTCCACTCTCTATGACAGAACATAAGGGTAGAGATGTCCACGATGGAAAATTTTGTTTGATTTAGTTTCAAATTCATTTGTTAAGTAAATAATTTAGTTTTGTCACAATCGTTATGTTTGAATGGTTAGTTTTTCAGAACGTTTTCATTTCCTTAGAAGAGTATGCAGTTTCACTCAAAAGTTTGCACACCCCGGCAAAAATTGTGAAATGATTGCATTATTATTGAAAATATGACTGATCATGCCAAAAACCTGTCTTTATTTTAAAAAATACCTACCTGGAGTTTGCATGTTCTCCCTGTGCCTCATTGGGTTTCCTTTAGGTACTCCGGTTTCCTCCCACATTCCAAAGACATGCTGATAAGTTAGTTGACTGCTGTCTAAATTGGCCCTAGTATGTATGAAGGTGAGTTAGAGACCTTAGATTGTAAGCTCCTTGACGGCAGGGACTGATGTGAATGTAAAATATATATGTGTAAAGTGCTGCGTAAATTGATGTGCTGTATAAGTACCAATAACAATAATAACAATAGTTATCATATGAAGCCATGTATTATCACATAGTTGTTTGGCTCCTTTTTAAATCATAATGATAACAGAAATCACCCAAAATGACCATGATCAAAAGTTTACATACCCTGGAATGTTTGGCCTTGGTACAGACAAGCAAGGTGACACACATAGCTTAAAATGTAAAATTAAAGGTTAATTTCCCACATCTGTGGCTTTTTAAATTGCAGTTAGTATCTGTGTATAAATAGTCAGTGAGTTTGTTTGCTCTCACATGGATGCACTGAGCAGGCTAGATACTGAGCAATGGGGAGCAGAAAAGAACTGTTAAAAGACCCGCATAACAATTTAATGGAACTTTGTGAAGACTGAAAAGGAAAGTGATGGGACTCAAACTTGTAAATTCAAAAGTGCCCATTTTGAAGGCCTATATGCAAATTACTGGTCATAAAAGGGGTATGGTGGTGATTTTTCACTGCTTAAAGTAAAAAAAGTGAAAAATTCCTTTAAATATCAAGCCTGCGGGTCCCCTTAAACAAAATGCAAAGTTCTACATCTGTACAATGTGTAGAACCAGCTGCAGCAGGACTGAGATTTTTTTATTAAAAAATAAATAATAAAAACAGCATGGGGTCCCCTCTAATTCTTACCAGACCCTTTAGGTCTGGTAGCAAGGTTAGGAGGGACCCCACAGTAAAAAATTCAATACAAAAAGTGTGTGGGGTTTCCCCTAAAAAGCCATACCAGGCCCTTCAGGCTTGGTAAAACTTTTAAGGGGAACCCCACTTCCCAAAAATGGGGAGAAAAAAGTGAGTGGGTTTCCCTCTACTTCTACCAGACCCTAGATCCGAGCACAGGCCTAGCAGACAAGGAAAGGGAGGGGATGAGTAAGCGCCTCCCCTTCTGAACTGTACCAGGCCACAACATGGGGGTGCCTTGACATAGGGGGGCTCCCCCCCCAAAGCACCTTGTCCCCATGTTGATGGGGACAAGGGCCTCTTCCCAACAACCCTGGGCTGTGGTTGTGGGGATCTGCAGGGGGTGACTTATTGGAATTTGGAAGCCCCCTTTAAGAAGGAGGCCCCCAGATCCTGGCTTCCCCCCCAGTGAATGAGTATGGGGTACATAGTACCCCTACCCATTCACCAAGAAGTTTAAAATGTGAAAAAAACCACAACAACAGTTTTTGACAAGTCCTTTAAAAAAAGCCAAAAAAAAATGGTTTCACTGTTGTAATCCATCCTTAATCACAGTGTGTAGCGTTGTTGTGATGATGCCGACTCGCCGAAATAAAAAAACAAAAAAACCTGCTGACCTGTCCGCACCCACTGAGCACCCGCCGCTGGCACTTGGTAGTCAGTTGTAAACAATTGTGCGGAGCTAGCAGTGACCTCACCATTAGCTCTGCACATTCTGCTGTGATTGGCCAAAGCATTGCACCTGACCTGTGGTCAGGTGCATTGCTTTGGCCAATCACAATGCATTGTCAGAGCTCAGTGCATTGTGTGGCATGGTAGCTGAACAACCCTCCGAACTCCCTTACCGTTCGTGTGTTCGCCGAACAAACAAAAGGCTGATGTTCGGGTCGAACTTATGTTCAACTCGAACATCCAGGACAACACTAGAAAAGGATATAAAAAGATATAAAGTCCTTGAAAATGCCTGGCAATACTGCTCAATCACGTATTAAGAAGTGGAAAGTTCGGGGATCTATTGATACCATGCAAGGTCAGGTAGACCAACAAAGACTACATCCACAACTGCCAGAAGAATTGTTTGGGATCCAAAGAAAAACCCAGAGGTAACCTCAGGAGAAATACAGGCTGCTCTGGAAAAAGACTTTTGAGCACAACTGTATATTTATTGTTCCAGATCAATTTGTATTTTCAGAAGTTCTGTTCTTCTTTTGTTATCTTGTAAGACTGGCTATATTCGTTTTAATGTGTTAGTTTGTTATTTCGGAATATTATTTATGAACTCTGAGTCATCCCTGCTTGTCCAGCCCACAAACAGAAATGGAATGAGCTGATTGGACAATATCAACTGGAGTCATGTGCATCTGAAAGTAACGAATGGAACAAATTGAATTTCAGATTCATTTATGTTATGATTTGGGATTCGGATGGATCCACCTCCATCCAACCCACACACAATAAGTAGGAATCATCCTATTTCAGTTTTATACTTTGCTGTATTCAAATGTAGTACCTTTTTTTATTATAATGAAAAATGTTAATGCAAAAAAGAATTGACTGATTATGCATGAGTCAAAGACTACTGAGCCGCTCTCATCCGAATAAAACAAATGAATCTGAATAAATGCTTATTCATTCAGTATGATATTAAGTTGAATTAATTTCCCCATTCCCATCTGACTTTGTTTATTGGGCCTTGCACATACAAATTAAACAAATGGTCTCTCAACTTCAACCCCAATACAAAAAGAATCTCAGAATATTCACACTTCGCTCACTAGAATGAAAACAAATGGATCCGAATCATTAATTATGTTGTTATGTACTGTAAATTCAGATGCTTCAAATATTAACAAACGGCCCAAACTATCACATCATGTCATCCAAATGAAACAAATGAATACAAATTAATTTGATTTAATTATAATTTATTTCGGATTTGTTGAAATTCCTTATTTTTGTGATGCGGAGATTCGGATACTCCTGAATTTCCGATTTGCGGAGATTTCACCCAAATTTCAACTGGTAACAAAACAAATCTCATATACAGTTGCAAGAAAAAGTATGTGAACCCCTTGGGATTACGTGGAGTTTTGCATGAATTGGGCATAAAATGTGCTCTGAACGTCATCTAAGTCACAACAATAGAAGAACACAGTCTGCTGAACATAATACTACACAAACATTAGATGTTGCCATGGTTTAATTGCACATAAAATGTAAACATTCACAGTGCAGGGAGGAAAAAGTATGTGAACCTTTGGACTTAATAACTGGTTGACCCTCCTTTGGCAGCAATAACCTCAACCAAACGTTTCCTGTAGTTGCAGATCAGACCTGCACAACGATCTGGAGTAATTTTGGACCACTCCTCTTCACAAAACTGTTTCAGTGTAGCAATATTCTTGGGATGTCTGGTGTGAATCGCTCTCTTAAGGTCATGCCACAGCATTTCAATCGGGTTGAGGTCAGGACTCTGACTGAGCCACTCCAGAAGGCGTATTCTGTGCTGTTGCAGCCATTGTTTTGTTGAATTACTTGTATGCTTTGGGTCATTGTCCTGTTGCATCACCCATCCTCTGCGGAGCTTCAGTTGGCGGAGAGATGGTCATAAGTTTTCCTGCAAAATGTCTTGATAAACTCTGGAATTCATTTTCCCATCAATGACAACAATCCGTCCAGGCCCTGAGGCAGCAAAGCAGCCCCAAACCATGATGCTCCCCTCCGCCATGTTTTACAGTGGGGATGAGGTTTTGATGTTGGGTGTGCTGTGCCTTTTTTTTCTCCACACATAGTGTTGTGTGTTCTTCCCAAACAACTCAATCTTGGTTTCATCTGTCCACAGTATATTTTGCCAGTAGTGCTGTGGAACATCCAGGTGCTCTTTTGCAAACTTCAAACGTGCTGCAATATTCTTTTTGGACAGCAATGGCTTCTTCCGTGGTGTCCTCCCATGTACTCCATTCTTGTTTAATGTTTTCCTTATTGTAGATGTGTCAACAAAAATGTTAGCATGTGCCAGAGATTTCTGTAGGTCTTTAGCTGAAACTCTGGGATTCTTCTTTACCTCATGCAGCATTCTGCGCTGTGCTCTTGCAGTCATTTTTACAGGACGACCACGCCTAGGGAGAGTAGCAACAGTGCTAAACTTTCTCCATTTGTAGACAGTCTGTCTTACCGTGGACACATGAACATCAAGGCTTTTGGAGATACTTTTGTAACCCTTTCCAGCTTCATGCAAATCAACAATTCTTGATCGTAGGTCTCCTGAGAGCTCTTTTCTGCGAGGCATGGTTCACATCAGACAGTGCTTCTTGAAACCAGTAAACCCAAAACAGGTGTGTGTTTTTTTAAGGGGAGGACAGCTGTCAGCAACACATCCAATATCATCACACTGATTGGAGTCAAGGTTGGCTCACTCCTTGTGGCTCCAATTAGCTCTGGGAGAAGTCATTAAGCTAGGGCCTCACATACTTTTTCCTCCCTGCACTGTGAATGTTTACATGTTATGTGCAATTAAACCATGGCAACATCTAATGTTTGTGTAGTATTATGTTCAGCAGACTGTGTTCTTTTATTGTTGTGACTTAGATGACGTTCAGAGCACATTTTATGCCCAATTCATGCAAAACTCCACGTAATCCCAAGGGGTTCACATACTTTTTCTTGCAACTGTATCTACATAGTGGCATCTTTGGACAGCAGAATTGTTATTCCGGGAGGAGGGGAGTGTTAGATGGACTAGCAGATTTAGATCTAAACTAAAAATTTTAAAAATTAAACCCAAACTTCAGCTCACACTTTATTAGCAGTTACAGCAAAACATTTTTATTCCTTTTGGGATAAAGATTTTACATAAATAATTTAAATCTAACCATTGCAAGCACTCCTGTCAGTGTTAAATAGTTTGTCTTAACCCCCTCCATCTGTAGGACAGCTGTGGAAAAACAGTAGACTTACTGGCAGGACCACCAGGCGAAAATGAAAAAAAGCCTAAAAAAGAAAACTAATACAGCCATCACATCAAAGAAGTGGTAAACTGCAATATAATAAATGTTTGCTTTGGGGTTTATTACCACTTTAAGTTTATAGTTATGTCTGTTCACGAGGGTCACAGACAACAATAAAGGCTGAGGAGGGAATACACTAGAGACCAAAACAATGCAGCTTATTGAATATATTTGGGTAGAGATGCCTTTTAATATGTTATATTATCTGCCGAAAGACACTTGAGATATCAGGAAATCCTAACTTATTAATTGACAGGAAGAACAGAAGAAATCTGCAGATAGTTGATTAAATGCTTATTTTTTCTCCCTCTGAAAAACAGAAACATAAGTAAAATTCATCTGGAGTGTGCAGCTCCAGCCATGTTTACTCCTCCTGCTCTCCATATGTCTGGCACTTGCCGAATGACTTCACGTCTGCTAGAGATTCTCACACTTTTGCATCAACTTCATATATCTATGGGCGCCCTCTATAACTAATAGACACATGGTATATGTGCCGACATGCACAGGCAGGTTGCTGATACACAAACAGAACATTTAAGTAATTAAATTTTAGTTTGTCAGATGATGAAGTATTTCAGATTTAAACTGGGGAGGAATTAGAGAAATTGTCGGGTTTTTATTGTTGTCTCTTTCAGGAATATTTCCCTTGGGCACAGGTTTTAAAAACTGAGCTTGGTTTTTCATCTGAGCTACTGCTGTAACCCACATCAGCAAAATGTTCTGGTGAAGAATACACCAGAAGAATACACCAGGATGCCAGGGCTTTCAAGGGTTGTACATAAACTATATTGACAAATGTATTTGGCCAGCCCTCCAAATCATTGGATTCAGGTGTTCCACTCACCTCCATGGCCACAGGGGTTAAAAACAAGCACCTAGGCATGCAGACTGCTTTTATAAACATTTTTGAAAGAATGGGTCGCTCTTATGTGCTCAGTGCAATTCAAGCGTGGTACCATGATAGGTTGCCACCTGTGCAATAAGTCCATCCATGAAATTTCCTTGCTATTATAACAAAGTGGAAGCAACTGGAACAACAGCAACTCAGCCACGAAGTAGTAGGCCACGTAAAATGACAGAGTCGGGGAGAGCAAATGCTGAATCGCACAGTGTCAAGAAGTCGCCAACTGTCTGCAGAGTCAATAGCTAAAGACCTCCAAACTTCCATGTGGCCTTCAGATTAGCACAACAACAGTGCGTAGAGAGCTTCATGGAATGGTTTTCCATGGCCGAGCAGTTACACCCAAGCCTTTCATCACCAAGTGTAATGCAAAGCATTGGATGCAGTGGTGTAAAGCACACCGCCACTGGACTCTAGAGCAGTGGAGACATGTTCTCTGGAGTGATGAATCACGCTTTTCTGTTTGGTAATCCAATGGACGTGTCTGGGTTTGACGGTTGTCAGGAGAACGGAACTTGCCTGACTGCATTGTGCCAAGTGTAAAGTTTGGTGGAGGGGGAATTATAGCGTGGGGTTGTTTATCGGGGTTTGGGCTTGGCCCCTTTAGTTCCAGTGAAGGGAACTTTTAAGGCGTCAACATACCGAGAGATTTTGGAAATTTCATGCTTTCAACTTTGTGGGAACTGTTTAGGGATGGCCCCTTCCTGTGCCAACATGACTGCGCACCAGTGCACAAAGCAAGGTCCGTAAAGACATGGATGAGCGAGTTTAGGGTGATGGAACTTGACTGGCCTTCACAGAGTCCTGACCTCAACCAAATAGAACACCTATGGGATGAATTAGAGCAGAGACTGCGAGCCAGGCCTTCTCGTCCAACATCAGTGCCTGACCTCACAAATGCGCTTCTGGAAGAATGGTCAAACATTCCCATAGGCACACTCCTAAACCTTGCAGACAGCCTTCCCAGAAGAGTTGAAGCTGTTATAGCTGCAAAGGGATGGCCAACTCAATAATTGGACCCTATGAACTAAGACTGGGATGCCATTAAAGTTCATGTGCATGCAAAGGCAGGTGTCCCAATAGTATACAAGTATGAAAGTGAGCGCTTAAAATTGAGCCGCTGTACACCGAAAGGTACCAACAACCTCCAAAGACCAAGTATAATGAATAAAGGTGCAGCGCTATAAACCACATCAAAAAAATAAATAATTAAATATCAATCAATTGCTAGTGATAGCGACCAAAACCTTTAAAAGGATATATAACAAGAAGTTACAATATTTCTTCCCAGGGGCAACATGCTGGGAAGATGCCCAAGATGTAGCCACACTTCTTGTTGAGTGTGCAGTCACAGCCTCCAGAGGAACCAAGCCCTTAGCTCTGTAGGCCATTTGGATGGCCTGGATGATCCAGGCCACGTTTGACCTGGGAGACGTCCGGTCTCCTTTACTCTTGCCATGGAAAAGGATGAATAGCTGGTCCGACCTATGGAAAGGATGCTGTGACCTGCAAATTTAGCCTTAAGGTCTCACCTACATCCAGCGGGTGAACGTTATCAACTCCCGAGGCTCTAAATGTCGTCAGGAAAATCTCTTGGTTCTCATGGAAGACCAAAGTCACTTTAGGATTAGAACCTAGCATAGGGATGAGGACCACTCGATCTGGGAAGAATGTCAAAAATGGTTCTTTACAGTCAAGGTTCCCAATTTTGGAGACTCCTTTTGCAGATGAAACCACCACCAGAAAGGCTGCCTTGATGGAGAGCTTCCTCACTGTCAGGAATGGACTGGCCAGCAATAGTGGGACTCACCTGCCTTGTGAGCTGCAATACCAGGGCTGGCCAGCGGGTGCTCCCAGCAATCAGAGACTCAATCTTGCAGCCAGTCAAACATCTGGAACTAATTATACTGATGTATTTAAGGGACATTCAGACCTGCAGACTCTGCCTTGGTGTTGTGTTTCTCTTGGGCCCTGTATCCTGTTCCTGCTCTCTGTTCCTGTCTGATTCTCTGCTGACCCTGCTCTGATCCCTGGCTTGTCTGACCATTCTCCTCTGCCTGACCCTCTGTACCACGCTGCCCGCTACCTGCTGAACCTGGCTTGTGACCCCGACCATTCTTCGCTTGCTCCCCCTGTACGTACCTGCCCGACTGATATTGACCCGGCCTGCCTGACGACGCTTGCATTGTATGTACTGTTATCTGTGGGTGGATGGTTGGTTTGTTTGCACTGTGTTATGTTTTAGTATTGCACTGCGTTTATGTTTGTATGGTTAGTGTTAATAAATTACATTGTTTATAACATATCTGAAGTCTGCGTTTCCCTGCGTCAGTCACACACCTCTGGTCATACCCGGGAGCCCTGACATTACACCAAGGCCAATCCTGACCAGAAGTGGCTGCACAGGGAAGCCATCTTGGCTTGTTGATGGGAAGGATGAAACCGGTAAACCTGCCTTCCGTGGTTCAGCCTGAAGCCTCTACTCAGCCTGAATCCTCTACTCAACCTGATGCCTGTACGCAGCCTGATGCCTCTACTCGGCTGGATGCCTGTACGCAGCCTGATGCCTCTCTTCAGCCTGAAGCCTCTACTCGGCCTGAAGCCTCTACTCGGCCTGAAGCCTCTATTCGGCCTGATGCCTCTACTCGGCCTGAAGCCTCTACTCGGCCTGATGCCTCTACTCGGCCTGATGCCTCTACTCGGCCTGAAGCCTCTACTCGGCCTGATGCCTCTACTCGGCCTGAAGCCTCTACTCAGCCTGAAGCCTCTACTCAGCCTGAAGCCTCTACTCAGCCGGACGCCGGCATTCAGCCTGATGCCTCTACCCAGCATGATGAACTGATCCAGCCTGACGATCCTATTAGGCCAGTTGACTCGATGCCCGCTGTTGATCCAGATGATCCGTTGCCCGCTGTCGTGCCAATTGACTCAGAGCCAACTGTCGTACCTGGTGACTCGGTGCCCACTGCCTTGCCAGATGACGTGGTGCCCGCTGGCGAGCCAAATGACCTGATGCCTGGTGACCCAGGGCCCGCTGTCATACCTGGTGACCCGATGCCCGCTGTCGAGCCAGACGATCCAATGCCTGGTGACCCGGTGCCCACTGCCTTGCCAGATGACGCGGTGCCCGCTGGCAAGCCAAATGACCTGATGCCTGGTGACCCAGTGCCCACTGTCATACCTGGTGACCCGATGCCCGCTGTCGAGCCAAATGACCTGATGCCTGGTGACCCAGTGCCCGCTGTCATACCTGGTGACCCGATGCCCGCTGTCGAGCCAGACAATCCGGTACCTGATGACCCGGTGCCCACTGTCGTGCCTGTTGACTCGGAGCCCACTGCCTTGCCAGATGACGCGGTGCCCGCTGTCGAGCCAAATGACCTGATGCCTGGTGACCCGATGCCCGCTGTCCAGCCAGACGATTCAATGTCTGCCCCAGTGCCCGCGGTCATGCCAGTTGACTCGGAGCCCACTGCCTTGCCAGATGACGCGGTGCTCGCTGTCGAGCCAAATGACTTGATGCCTGGTGACCCGATGCTCGCTGTCCAGTCAGATGATCCAATGTCTGACCCAGTGCCCGCGGTCATACCAGCTGACTCGGAGCCCACTGCCTTGCCAGATGACGCGTGCCCGCTGTCGAGCCAAATGACCTGATGCCTGGTGACCCGATGCCCGCTGTCCAGCCAGACCATCCAATGTCTGACCCAGTGCCAGCGGTCATGCCAGTTGACTCGGAGCCCACTGTCGTGCCTGGTGACTCGGTGCCCGCCGCTTCGCCTGGGGGCCCGAGACCTGTCGCTCCGCCTGGGGGTCCGGCGCCCGCCGCTCCGCCTGAGGACCCGAGACCTGTCGCTCCGCCTGAGGGCCCGAGACCTGTCGCTCCACCTGGGGGTCCGGCACCCGCCGCTCCGCCTGAGGGCCCGAGACCTGTCGCTCCGCCTGGGGGCCCGATGCCTGTCGCCCCGCCTGGGGGCCCGATGCCTGTCGCCCCGCCTGGGGGCCCGATGCCTGTCGCGCCCCGATGTGCCTCTGCCCGGAGTCCAGCCCGATGTGCCTCTGCCCGGAGTCCAGCCCGATGTGCCTCTGCCCGGAGTCCAGCCCGATGTGCCTCTGCCCGGAGTCCAGCCCGATGTGCCTCTGCCCGGAGTCCAGCCCGATGTGCCTCTGCCCGGAGTCCAGCCCAATGTGCCTCTGCCCGGTGTGCCGCTGCCCGGAGTCCTGCCCGGTGTGCCAGTCTTTGATATCCCGCCAGTTACCAGACCCGGGCGGTGGAACATTTTGCCCAGCTAGGACTGTTTGGAGCGTCCTGAGGCCGCTCCTTGAGGGGGGGGGGGTACTGTCAGGAATGGACTGGCCAGCAATAGTGGGACTCACCTGCCTTGTGAGCTGCAGTACCAGGGCTGGCCAGCGGGTGCTCCCAGCAATCAGAGACTCAACCTTGCAGCCAGTCAAACACCTGGAACTAATTATACTGATGTATTTAAGGGACATTCAGACCTGCAGACTCTGCCTTGGTGTTGTGTTTCTCTTGGGCCCTGTATCCTGTTCCTGCTCTCTGTTCCTGTCTGATTCTCTGCTGACCCTGCTCTGATCCCTGGCTTGTCTGACCATTCTCCTCTGCCTGACCCTCTGTACCACGCTGCCCGCTACCTGCTGAACCTGGCCTGTGACCCCGACCATTCTCCGCTTGCTCCCCCTGTACCTACCTGCCCGACTGATATTGACCCGGCCTGCCTGACGACGCTTGCATTGTATGTACTGTTATCTGTGGGTGGTTGGTTGGTTTGTTTGCACTGTGTTATGTTTTAGTATTGCACTGCGTTTATGTTTGTATGGTTAGTGTTAATAAATTACATTGTTTATAACATATCTGAAGTCTGCGTTTCCCTGCGTCAGTCACACACCTCTGGTCATACCCGGGAGCCCTGACACTCACTATGTTTGGCCCAGATGATTCTGGAACACCTCCAGAGAAAAGGTCGAGCACAAGCGGAAGGTCTCATTTTGGGAAACTCGGCTCCCTCTGGGGCCTCAACCCTATTGTTTCTTTGAAGAATTGCCGAACCAAAGAGCGGTCGTCCCAGGATACTCCAGTGAACGCCCAGATGGCTGACACTTGAACCCTGAGGGTGCTGACCGACAGGGGTAGGTCCAGGCCTGACTGTAGGAATCCAGGACATCCTGAACCCTCGGATTACTAACGGATCCACCCACAGATCGTGTCGAAATGAGCCCCGAGGAATATTAGAGACTGGGCTCCAACTGGCTCATCTCCATATTCAGCAACCACCCGAACTCAAGAAGGGTCGAGATGACGTGGGTCCTGTGCTGTAGTAGCTGATCACTGTCCTGGGATAGTAGGAGTAGGTAGCCTAGGTAGTGGTGCAGGCAAATGCCTTTGGTTCTGATCAGGGCCACGACCGCCAACAAGACTGTTGAAAACACATGAGGCAATGTTGACAGCCCAAAGGGGAGACACACAAACTGGAGATGCCGATGGTCCACAGCAAACTGGAGGAATCTCTGAAAATCTCTTGCAATGGGCACATGAAAGCAGTAAATTAATTGGTTTACGTGAAAGTTATAGCATCTACAAATGGCGGTATATATACTGGAATTTAAAAAAAAAAACTTTTATACTAGTAATGGCGGCAATCAGCGACTTATAGTGGGAATGACATTGGGTGGGAACTGAGTAACTGCCACTGACATCCCCAGTGACACTAATACAGTGATCAGTGCTAATAAAAAGCACTGACACTGTACTAATGACACTGAGCAGGAAGGGGTTACCTATTGGGTGATCAAAGGGTTAACTGTGTGCTGTGTGTTTTACTATGTGTGCTGTTTTACTAGAGAGGTATGCTGTTTTGTATTTCTCTGTGCAGAGAAATACAAAACAGCATGTCCATGCTGACAGGGGAGAGACCTGTGTTGTTTACAGGTCTCTCCCCTGTCAGGCGATCAGCGAGTGCCGGCGGGATCCGGTGATTGACATGCCTAGCCACCAATGGCAGCGTGGGTAGGGTGGCACTCAAATGCAATAGCGCTCCCTACCAAGAAATGCAAATCACGTATATATATACGTAATTTTGTGCAGCCCTGTAGCAGTGCTTTTACTATAGGGTGGCGGGGATGCGGTTAACAGGTGTATATTGAAAGGTTATAAGCAATTGCTCTGCCTGCCAGTTCAACCCTGCTCCGTCTACTTACAGTATAATTCACCCTAGGTCCATAAATATTGAACCAAACTGCTAGATGAGCATGGTGACACTTTGCCCTTCTCTATACTTACCATCATTCTGAGATGGGAAGGAGGGGCACCTTTTAGTTCACAGGGTGAAGTCAAAGGACCCACTCCTGCCATGTCACTAGCTACATGGACTGCAAATCTATATGCAAAAAAAAATATCAGTTAAACCTACCAGCTTTCTTTTTCCCCACTACTTTTCCTGTATGGCGGCTTTTTATAATAACGCAAGAGGTTGGATGAACAGTTTAATGTAGTATAACTCTTATGGTAGTTAAATAGTGTACTTTTTATGGGGTTTGTACATCAGCCCAAGGAGGGGCATTTGAGGAGGGAAGAAGTAAAAGAAAGAAGTTTCAAAAGAAGGACAGTTCCCCCAAATGAGGGAAAGTTAGAAGCTATGCCTATTTTTCTAAAGGTTGGCTCTAAGAGTCCTCAATTATATGTTTAGCTAAATAAATATAATTAGAAGGTGCCATACCATTTCCTCTTCTGATTATTGAGCAACAGTATCATAAACTAAATGTCCTTTTCTAGCTAAACTTTTTTTCAGTGTTGGAAAGAGTGGGAAAGTGATAGAACATCAAGGGTCGGATTAATGTATGGCCTATTGGAGCTGCACCCACCCAAAAAGAACAGGCTGCATACTGAAAGCAATGGGCCGACGGAAGAGATCTCCCTGACCTAACTGGCCATGCATTCCACGCATTCAAATCAAATTCCATGCTTCTGTAGCATTATGCCAGCGCATCTGTACCCTTTCACCTCAGCACCAGGTGCATGGTGCTCTTAATCCGGCCCTGAGAACATCGTTAAGGTTTTTATTGGCAATTTGTAAACAAACCTTTGATATGACATTGACTATTTTGCACTAATAACAGCAATAAGTTAGCATGCAGTTGCTCCCAAGAACTGAAACTGGAGAAAAGAAACTCACTTGATATTGACTCTAAATGAAGAACAATTATATTCATCCTTTTTTTTTTTTACCAATTGACCAAATTTTATTATATTTTATTGACCCGATCATCTTTTTTGGTCCATTTCTCTGGCATTCTATTATTTTATTCAACGAAAGTAACTATTGTCTATTGGCATAACCAATTGGACATTTGAAGCACTGTGAAGTTTCAGCTGACCCTAGGCTGGGTACTGGAGCATAGAATACTCCAGCTATGTTCCAGGAAGGAAGCCTGTGATAAACCGCCTGTCACCCTAGTTGTGTGATTCAGTCAGAGAACTGCTTCCTCACCGCTGGGACACAGAAACAAGGCTGGGCATCGCACCCAAGACTAGGCGACACTATTTTAGGTGCAAAACTGGAACTATTTACTGAACAGAATTACAGGTTTTTATATACTTCAGAAATAGTGGCAGTCCCCACGTGAACAATAAAACAAATATTACACATTGGGGTAATCATCCCACACTGATTAGGTAAGAGCTTGACCACATTATCCTAAACAGTGCAATCGGTAAACCGTACTGTCAACAGCTAACAGTGATCTAATTAACAGTAAGCTAATCAACAGCCAGGTACCCAGGCCAGCCAGGGAGCCCACCCCAGACAGCCTGGCACCTCCAACCTTGAATACATAAAGTACATTACACATACTGTCTTTTAGGTGTTTGCTTTCACTTGTATAATCTGTCCATCATAAGAAAAAACTCATAATATTCCAACAGTCTGAAAAAGTGGAATTAATCTATTTTCATAGATTTCTTGAGGGAGATTGTTGATAAATATTTATTTCCAAAGTAGAGGAGCTTCTCCAAGCCAGTCTGCAGGAGGGACACCATATTTCCTTTGACCATTAACCTGTAGAAGATTAATATTACACATTTCCATCCACTCCAGAAGGGAAGCTGTATTGTCTTTACTCAGAGAATGAATCCAAGCCTCGCTGTCAGCATCCATCATTAGAGAGTGATCTGCTCTCTACGTGGACCATAATCAGTGGGTAAAAGGCTAGCCCCTCGTCTCCTCCAAAAGCCCCTGTCCTGGTTGGGTCTGTCACAAAGCCTCCAAGACTGTGGCCCATCATTGCTTCTGTTTATCCCTCAACTGATGCATAGAAGCACACACAGGATTTCTGGTAAAGCATCACTAAACCACCTGTAATTACTGCATAGGTTAGAAGATCAACCCCTGACTAAGATGCAGCCGTGCACTTTAGAGACACTGGGCAGAAAGTTCTGTTTTTATGTCAAATAACTTTTCTTTTTTTCTTTTTCTTTAGCCTTTTCTTTTTCTATTTCTTTTCTTTCTCTCTCTCTAAATTTCTCTAGCCTTTCTTTTGCCAGATATGTACAGTCATTGTGTGTTTGTGGAAGTTTCAATGGCTGTAGAAATTTCTCTTTAGTGATGAATTGTCTTAATGATTGCTTTGACCTGCCATGGCCCAGCATGCGGCCACCAGGACATTCACCTGTCAGGCTTCCAGAGTATATAAAGATTGTGCCATGTGCTGTGCAGTACTAGCAGAAGCTGGTTTGTGCTTCTCAAGCTGTGACCACAACACAATAGCTTTAAAAACTAACGAGACGTTTACTTATGATTAACTCAGCATGTGGATTCATTTCTGATTATAAGCGGCTGCCTCACACAGCTGACGTGGAATCCTTTCCACTGGACTTTTGTTTGCTGCTAACTTTACTGTGTTTTTCAAGGAAGCCATTTGCCTCTTTTAAAATGAGTTGGCCACATTTATTGTCTTCCTGAAATTGCAATGTTAATTCAGAAAAGACAAAATTCACATCCTCAGTATTGAGCTTTCTTGTTCCTTTTACTAGTGTGCCGGGGCAGACTGACAACTCATGGGGCCCCCGGGCAAAAGGGGATCATGGGGCCCCTGTGTCCTTGCCCAAATTCAAAAAAGCCTATGAAAAAGGTACCAGGAGCATCTCATGGGGCCCCCTACTGACCCCGGCCCTCGGGCAGTGCCCGAGTTTCCAAATGGTCAGTCCGCCCCTGAT